CAAATAACATGTAATGCCTTGATGCTGCCTGTTTAATCTCTTCTGCACAAATACGTACCTTACCTCTTAGCCACTCAGACTGTAGGCTTTTATTTAGTTATTAACGTTAAGACTTATTATTCAGTAAGTATTATGATTTACTCACTAACTACTACGTACTATTAGGGATTCACATCGACTTGTTCTGTAACTACTTTGAATTATTTAGTAACTACAATGAATCATTCAGTAGGTACTAGGAGTTGTTCACTAACATCCACATATTATTCAGTGACTACTACATATTATTCAGAACCACTGTGCATTATTCAGTAACAGCTATGAATTTTTCAGCACTATGTATCATTCAGGAGCCGAGTTATTCAGTAACTGCTATGAAACTAGTATTAGTAGTATTGTTATGAGAGTGAAGAATTGAAATGTGGCCCAAAGACACACCCTCACAGTTTAACACGGAGAGCTTTAAATACCCCTGCTCAAACAAGCTTACTAAACCTGATGACTTCCATCCATATTTCACTCTGAAGTTTGTTAGTTCCTTCAATACGACCACCTGGAGAGTCCGTCCCTCACACAGGTCTCCGTAACTTTAGCTAGCCATTTTTCTTACTAGCCTGCTAAGTTTTTCAGATATAAAATGGACATGAAAGTGAACAAATTTGAAGTTGTCCTTTTAGAGCTGTGCTGGATTAGTTTAGTTTATTCATTAGAGCCATTGTTGAAAACAGCTGAATCAGATGTTTTGAGCAGGGAAAACAGCAAACTGTGATGGACAGTGTTTGATGCATGCCTTCTCTCTGTGCAGCATTTGGAGGGGAGAAGTGGAAGACCAATGTGCTGCTGACAGCATTCCTGTGCCCTGGGTGAGTGGAGTCAGCATTGACAGATTGCTTAATATATTCACAGGCGTGGCGGAGAGTGAGATTCTGTGTGCAGTTGCTTGTTTATGGTTGTTTCTCGTTTGGGAGAATGGCTTTTGTTTTGTTTATGTCCTTTTTAATAAAAATATATTTTAACCCCTCTCCTCCCTCAGGGTTGTCTTTGCTGACTTCTTTCTGATGAATCTGATCCTGTGGGGTGAGGGCTCTTCAGCTGCCATGCCATTCGGCACACTGGTGGCTATCCTGGCCCTCTGGTTCTGCATCTCCGTCCCACTCACCTTCATCGGAGCTTATTTCGGCTTTAAGAAGGCCGTGAGTACTCATTTGTACATGTACAGATACGCATAAGACTATGGCAAATCTTGCCTGGCACTATGTTAAGTAAAAAAAAACAATCACACAAAGTACCTGTAAACTTTATCTGATCATTTACAAGTGGCAACACCTTTATGCTCATCTGACAGTCAATAAGGCACAGTGGACTGACATGTTTCCTGTTTAAAACTGCCCTTGGAGAAGTGTTTAGGGTAAAACCTGAGCACATGTCTGCGAATCATTACATATGTTTGAATAATGACACAGTGTACGTTTTGTCTGGTGAACAAAAAATCTTCCTTGTGCAGGGGTGCACAACTCTGGTTCTGGAGGTCCGATGTCCACCACACTTGAGATTTACCCAGTCAAACACGCATGATTACGCTTGTCTGTTCATTGGCAGGTCTAGTGGTTGTGTTTGGGTAGGAAAACCTCCAAACTGTGCTGGACACCAGCCCTGCAGGAGTTGTGCACCCCTGTCCTAGCAGAATCTCTGCTATACACACTATGCCTTATAGTGGAGATGTAGGATTTGTGGCTAACAAAATGACTGCTCAAATATTCTTTCAATATTAAAATCTTAATGATAAATAATTTTAAAAAGGAGAAAATTAAAACGCTCACTAAATACATGATATTCTAAATTTAACATTTTCACACAAAATTCTAGTTTAACCCGTTAGCACAACTGTGAGGGGTTTGCTAAGGTTTGCTCCTTCCTGAGCCACCAACACATCATACACTCACAGACACAGTTTTCACAGAGGCTTAGTAGAAATGAGTTTATGGATTCCTGCATTAGCTGGTGTTACTGTGAGCATTTTAGAGATAAATGTGGGAAGGATGGATTTAAGGATTGAACGGATGTCCACACAGCTTGTTTTAAGCGCTGAAGTAGCCAAGCACCATAGAACATCAGATAAACAGAAATTGTCAGCATATTGAAGTTTGTCATTATTGCTCCCTGTGTGCAAAGCAAGAGATACAAGTTTTTCAGTTCTGTTATGAGCTGTGTTCTGATTAACTATTAACAAGCCAGCGTCTCCTGCTGCAGTTTTTTCCTACTGTAGTGTATTAACGACGCTGTGCAAATTCTTTTGTTATAGTTGTACTTGGTACAGTAGTACTTGGTAACTGTAGTTAGCATAGGTTATAATTGATTATAATGTATAAGGTAAGCAGACATTTTGGCCAAAATAAAACTTTCAAAAGGTCCTGTAGTCACATTTTGTGTATTTCATGTTTTTTTTTATATATATATATAATTCTGAATTATACCAAAATACGAAATAATCTAATCAAATTGTGGTGAAATTTCACGAGGCAAGAAATAATTTCCTAGAGAATCATTTAAGAAATGGTAACCAGATGAAAAGTAATGGAATAGAATGGTTTCTGAGGTCAGAGGTACATACCCATAACTGGCATTCATGACAATGAGCTGCTGTTTTGGCAATTTTTTTTTCATCGAATCACAGTCTGATATGAGTATTTGTGATTCTAACGTCCATCATTTCTACGTTGTCCAGAGCATTGAGCACCCGGTGCGCACCAATCAGATTCCTCGTCAGATTCCCGAACAGTCCTTCTACACTAAACCTCTCCCTGGCATCGTGATGGGTGGGATCCTGCCTTTTGGATGCATCTTCATTCAGCTCTTCTTCATCCTCAACAGCATCTGGTGAGTCTCACTTTACCGTGAAAGTTTAGTTCTGAGTTATTTGTATTCTGAGAGTTAACTGTTGTTTATGAAGCATGAAAAGACGTGTGATGGCTGCTGTTGTCTTACTGTGTGCATGTGTGTGTGTCTGCAGGTCACATCAGATGTATTACATGTTTGGATTCCTCTTCCTCGTCTTCATCATCCTGGTTATCACCTGCTCTGAAGCCACCATCCTGCTCTGCTACTTCCACCTGTGTGCTGAGGTTAGAGCACTTCTCTCTCTCTTTACTCTGCCTTAATGAAATGCACTAAAACAGGCTTCCTGTTAATCTTTGAAATGTATAATGAAGCTTTATAACAGATTTTAGAAATCTAAAGTCATAAAATGTCTGAAAATGTTTTTTTGTTTTTTTTTAAATAATGCTACTGTTGGAGGTATTAAACTCCTAAAATTATGCCTAAAGACCGGGTAGTAAGGAGACGCTACATTATATACATACATATAAATTAATTCAGAGTAGTCCTCCAGCCAGAAATACGCAGCTGACAGAAACTGACCAACAGTAAAGGGCTGGAGGACGGTACAACTGAATGTCAAATACACTGAAAAGGCTGTGAAGTTCTTTTGGCTCTTGTAATTTTCAAAATAAAAGCCATAATTTCTCTTGTAGCCCATGTGATTTTAAAACCTCTTCTTGACTGACTCCAACTGAACATACAAATAAGTCCTTATTTGCTTTTTGACGGTTTCCTCTTGCTGTGCAGCTGTGTGAGTGCTGAAGTTGTTTTGTCTGTGTTTTTTTGTCAGGATTATCACTGGCAGTGGCGCTCATTCCTCACCAGTGGCTTCACAGCGGCTTATTTCTTGGTGTATGCTGTACACTACTTCTTCTCCAAACTACAGATTACTGGACTGGCCAGCACCATCCTGTACTTTGGCTACACCATGATCATGGCCCTCATCTTCTTCCTCTTTACAGGTCTGTGTTGTGTGTGTGCGTGCATACAGCCTAGTGCTGAACAGCACACCATCTATAAGTGTCACTCAGCAATGTTGATTTTTAGTTTTAGCTAAAATGAGCCACAGAAAACTTAATTACCTGCAATTAAAGTCATTTGCCATGTGTTTTACAAGACCAGTTTAAAATGTGTGAAAATGCTTTCAGTCTGGTTATCATTTACAATAGTGGGTAAAGTTCCCTTTTGTAATTCTAAGAGGACAAAAACAGAAGAATTAGAAAAAAAATACCAAATAAGCTATATCTATGTATCACAGCATGTGAAATGGCTAGTATAGCATTGTGTCTGTCTCAAAACATTGTGATATGCCTGTGTTTCATGAAGATATCTTCAAATATCATGATATGACGTCACCCACCTCTACATTCCAGTTTTTCCTAAAAAATCATAGTTAAATCAAATTGTTGTGAAGATTTGTTTTTGTCCTTATAATAGTTAATGGTGCAAATTCACACACACATAAACCTTTTTATCTTCAGTTCCATTTAGATCTGAAAAAGGTTTAACTATTCAGTCTGATAAGAGCTTAAACTAATGTAATTTTCTTTTTCCCTCCTCATAGGAACGATTGGATTCTTTGCCTGTTTCTGGTTTGTCACAAAAATCTACAGCGTGGTGAAGGTGGACTAACTAAGCTCAACCAATTGCAGCCTAGACTGTACTTGCCTCTTCCTAATGGGATGCCCCTGGGTGAGCAGCAAGAGCGCTGTTGAAAAATACGTCCTATTGCCCCGGCTAACTAACGGCTGAAAACTAGGTTCTGCAAATCTTCAGCTTCCATTGGAGTGCACGCGTGTGTAAAAATGTGTGTTTCCGTTTGTGATTTCACACACATGCTTATAAAAACAGCACTCATAACAGCAACATGTTACAACAAAGAGCACACGCAGCCACCATTCACATTTTCCTCAACCATTTGCGAGATTAAAATTTCAAATTGAAATTTGTAAATATTAATTTTTTTTTTTTTTTGGCTAAGCGCATCAACTACAGATATAGGTAGCTGACATGTTGAACTGTTGCGGTGATAGAAGTATGATTTTGTAAATATCTTATTTTTTCCATTTTTTCTGAAATGCTGAAAAATGTCCAAAAAAGCAGCATTGAAAAGAAAAAAAAAACAGGCTGTGAGTTGTTTGTTGGGTTTTTTTTTGTTGTGAGCTGTTTTCTCTTCACAATATCAGTAATGTTTCAGTAATGCTTGTGTGTTATTAACCAGAGAGGTTACTATACTTTTATTTAACACTTACTACTTTATTTTAATTTTAGTTTGTACGGTCTTGCTATTCATTTTCGCCTCAACACTCTGTTTGTGCCTCGTGATCATATGGAAGGGGTGGACCTAACGGAGGTCTCCGTAGTATGCTAACAGTGAATTAAGCTGGTGGGTCTAGTTTGCATGATCATGCTAACTAGACTCTCCTAACTTTAATTCAGTGTTGGCAAAGCTTTTTTTTGGTTAAATGTTTCTGTGAGAGCCCTGGGTGCACATGTATAAACGATCTGATCTGTGATCAGATTTGCCTTTCGTATTTTGTTAAGGACAGTTGGATGTTGAGCTGATCATGGATTATTTATACATGTGGACCAAGCGATTGCTTATTTTCCCCTTAATGCTAACTTGTACACATTAGACTGGGGGGAAAGAAGGAATCTGTCTGTATGTGAAAATACTTGGATCGATATTTTTGTTTTTGTTTTCAGGCTGTGTACATATGCACACTATGTAAGCATATATAAGTTATCATGGTTTGATTTACAATGACCTGGATTTTTTCTTCACCAATTTGAAATAATGAGATGGGAAGAGGGGGAAAAAGATGAATGTTAGAAATAAAAGTATTTCCCTGTCCCAAATAAAATTAGACTTTTTACTTTTTTCTGTTCATTCATTCATTCACTGTTCATGGTATTTTAAAAGCTAAATGTTTATGGTAAGAGGGTTAAGATTGAGAGAAAGGCCCTTGTATTGTTTTTTAGATTTTGCTTCGTAATTGTGTTTCTCAGTTCAAAATCCATTCATAGTTTTTCTAAAACTAGTTACACTTTTCCAATCAAGTGGTTTAAAGGAGGCACAGTGTTTCTCAGATTGTATTCAAAAGTCAAAGACCAGTTTTTTTTTCTCCTTCCATTTCCAGTCAAAACAGCCACTATGTACAAGTTATGTATTTTTCAGCACTGGAGAAAAAGCATATTTAGCAAAAGAAAAAACAGCAGAAATTTATACAGAACAACTAAGTATAAAGTCAAATTTCACTCTACTTTTATTACAGCTTTCATTCTTTTTAGAAGTCTCTCTTTCGGTTTTTCAAAGAAATCTGCAGGGATTTTTTTCCCACACATTCAAAGTTCAGTCTTAGAAATTGGTTGCATTTTCTGCTTCTTGCAATCCAAATAATCTCAACAAAATGAATGATATTGAGGTCTGAACTCCGGGGTGATCCGTACCTTGTTCTGAGAACACCGCAGCTTCTTTGTTTGATTTGCAGATATATCACCAAAACCTTACCAGAGGGAAAAACATATCTTAAGATTGTCTCAGAGAAATAAAGCAGATCTCAATATTATATTAATGAAGGATCAATGATTTCTGAATTGTTTCTCCTAAAACCCCCTCAGGAGAAAAGAGGAGATTAACATCAGCATCTCGCTGTGAGAAAATCTGGTGATGAATGAGAAAAGCGTGAGTTCTCCCTCTGCACTGACAGACTGCTGAGAGAGGTCTGCAATATGAAATAGAGCTGTATAAGAAAACAGTGAGATCTTAGGGAAATATTACTCAGCGAAGACTTCAGTGAGACGAGTTCTGTATCTCAGGAGCCAAATTTCAGAAACAGGAGAAAATGACGAGAGTCTCACTCTGATTTCAAACTGGACTTAACCACGTCTAGGAGAAGTGCCTGAGATCAAGAGGAGATCTCATAGTATTTCTTTCCTCTGGGTTACGGAGGAAGGAAAAAAGGATTCTTTAATGTGTGTATATTGCAATAGGGTTTTTCTTAACTAGGGCTTTGTCTTAAGTTCTACATAACAGAGCCAAAATGGATGGACCAGTGTTTGTCACTTCAGTTTAAGGGCCTTTATGTTAACACAATATTTTTTAATGAAGAGGGTCAAGGTTTCACATCCTATTGGTTGACATTTCTCAGATTGGTTGATTCCTGCTGAGCGTGGTGGCATGCTCTGCCTGATGGAGACTGTTCAAGCTTATTTCATCATTCAGGATTATAGTTTTGTACTTTGTATTTTATTCTTTAGCAAATGCAGCACCTTTAACTGAGTATTAGTGACTATTGGATGTATTGCATACAGACTCGACTGTAAAAGTTATATAAAAAAGACACTGATGTCGTATGAAGGGACGCACACCACTCTGGTCCTGCTGTGCGTGTGTGTTGCGTGCAGGTTGTCTGTGCTGTGAGGACGAAGAGCAGCGGGATGTTCCGCGGAAATGGGTCACCAAACAGGCCCTCAGCACATACACACACGGTCATAAACAGCCTCGTATGTGTAGGCAGGTTGCTGTAAAACGTGTAAGACTGCAGGTGTGTGTGACACTTTGTTTGTTAGAAATTCCTCAGGCATTTTAGACCTTTAGGAAAAGTCTTTAGGCCATAGATTATACAACTGAATTTTCAGCTGATCTGGGATCTTTTATTTCGCATGGATTTATCTATTTCAGCCCACACATAGGAGAGCTTATACCAGATCAGAACTGTTTCCCAGACACATATGAAGCCTGTTATAACACTTAAAATTCTGACACTCAAAACAGATGATTTTAGCCACGTTTCACCTAAAAAAGTCATCACCTTTATTTCTATTGCACATTTAACACTGCACAATAATATCAGTTAACATAAGCACTACTAACTAATCAAAACTACCCAATACACACACACACACACACACGTATTTAAAAGAAAATTAACATGCATACAAAACATTAAATACAAACAGTAAAGCAAAATAAAAGAGCTACACTAGCTAGACAGAACAGATACTGAATGCATAGTCATTAAAAAGACTTGAATGCCTGAGAAAATAAAGGGGTTTTATGTCTGTTGTGTTGTAGGGGAATCCTTTCTGAAAAGCAGAAGACTATTCCAAAAAAGTGGTTTCCAAAGTTAGATCCATGCTGTTGTGTTGCCAGTAGGTGGCACCACTTTCTGTTCTTATTAGTTAGCTGGGAGACATGTTGCTCAGGTTTGTTGCTGCTACAGTCTGACCTTCAGAGCAGATGTTAGACCTTTAATGGTGAACTGTGTCCTGGTATGTTAGTCCAAGTTGAGAATTTGCTACCTTTGCTACACAGCTTTTGTCGTATTTAATAATTTAGCAATTATTTATTTATTTATTACTATTATTAGTAGTAGTGGTAATAGTAGTACTTGCTTGTGAAATACATGCGTCTAAAGTGTGTAACAGTGTAAAAATAACCCTCCATAGGCTTTCATTCTTGCCACTGTACATAATGATTTTGAAAGGAGAACTGAATGTGCTTCTGTGAGAAGTTATTTTTTGCTGTCTTATTTTAAAAAGTATGCATTTCACAAATGTATTTATGTGTTTGTTCATTTATCTTTTGAAGAATTGGTCAAATTAAAAAAATGAAAAATACTGAAAACTGGAAAAAATATTTTTTGAGCGACTGCACTGGAATTTTAAGTGTTGGAAAGAAGGAGCTAAATTAGAGTAAACATTACATTAAACTACACGTTAAGTTAAATAGCTCCTCACGGGTTTTTCATAAGGCTACAGTCCTAAAATGCCAACAGATCTGACTGCATCACCTGTCTTTGTTATGACTTATGAAGGGACATTTTGAATGGTCAGTAGTGTAGATATGCATATTAGAGCTCACTAAGTAGTAGTTTATACTTCTGAAAAGAAAAAATTCATTTCACTTGCTTGCTTCTACATGGATAGATAGATAGATAGATAGATAGATAGATAGATAGATAGATAGATATCAATGTTTTCAGAACAAACCCTCGTATCTCCAAAATGATAACTTCACAGGAGAAGGAAAAAACACACTTTACTTTTAATGTACATCAATGGAATCAGACTTTTTCCCCAATCTTGGTCACGTGTACATGAGTTTATAAATGTAACAATATGTATTATATATGTGTACATTATGTAATACTACTGTTGGCCATATACATTATGTAAATGTAAGTATGGGTTTTTCTGTGGTTTCCTTACAAAATCAGGACATTTTTGCATTGAAAATGTGTAAATAACTACACACACAGACACACACACACACACACACACACACACACTATGTAAAGAGCTGTGGGGATTAGAAGCTGTTCACTCCTCTAAACTCTAATGATCTCACATTGTTCAGTCTCCAGCTGATTCTTCACAGCAAAAGCCCCCTTTTTCCTTTAAAACACTTCTAGTGACTCACTGCTGTGACAACATGTCTGAAAGTGTGTGCGTGTGTGTGTGTGTGTGTGTGTGTGTGTGTGTGCGTGTGTGTGCGTGTGTGTGTGTGTGCGCATCCCTTGTTTGTTTATCTCTTCCAGATGGCAACTTCAGTCACTCTTTTGTGTGCCTTTTCTTTCAAAAAAGGAGGGGAAAAAAAGAGTTTTACTGCTTCCTTTAAATAGGCTTGGCCTGTATTCCACACGGTGGGAACAGTCTTTAGTCTTTGAACGTACAATGCAGCCTTGCTTCTCTTACAGCTTTGGAACAATATGCTGTGTTTAAATATGGAACAGACGAATAGATAACACTAAATTAATGAACATAAACTGATTTGGGATGTAGTTCACCACTGAAACTGAAAAAACGAGCGTGTGCTGTATTTGAAAGACAGCACGTTTCTAAAAAGCACCTTCACATGTTGCAATAAGGCAACACATTTAATGGTTCATTTTGCTCAGTGTTTTTTGTTTTTGTGTCTATTGACCCAGCAATTGGCTAAAGCGGTAGCTAAGAATAGCTAAAACAACTAGCTAAAGTATATCAGGGCCTATGTGATCTGAGTTCTTGGCCTTTTGGTATTCTCAAGATCCTCTGATCAAGATCTCAAGATCCTATTATGACATTCATTCATTTCACATTATAACTTTGGTTCATTTTGCTTAGAGTTATTTTATCTCTA